TATCCTCCTCCCCGCCAGGCAACCCCTCTCATCCAGGCCCATTCCAGTCGTGCCCCCTCACTTAGGCCCCCTGCACCTCCCTCCTGGACTATCACAGCAGCTCTGCTGGGCTTCCCTGGCTATGGTTTTCTCACTGTCCAGGCCACCCCACACACTGATTCCAGAAGATCCTATTGTCATTCACCTGACCGAAATTCTTCAACTGTTCCCGTGACTTAGTATCCAGTCTAAATCGTTCAGTCATAAGCCTTCACAGCCCTCCTGGGCCGGCCTCAACTGACCTTTGCTGCCTTCTGTTCCCGTTAGTCACTTATACACACACTGTTGCCCAGCAACAACACATTAGTCACTGCCCACTCCGCGCACCAGTTCTTCCCATCCCTTTCTATATGTCTCTGCTCATGTGTCCTTGGACTCAGACCCTCGCAGTCCTCAAGTCCAACACCACCTTTCCTGGTCTGGCCAAAGCCTCTTCGATCCATGATGCATTTCTTGATGGCCCAGCCTGAGAAAAATCTCTTCTACAAATGTGTAGTGTGTTTATCTCTTTTCTTTTATACATTTTATCTCTCTTCTCTATGTTCATCTGTGCATGGAACCTTAGCTCCAAGCTCTCCGCAGGCAGCATGACGTCCGGGCCCACACTGTCATGCTCAGGAAAGGCACCCAGGAAACAGCAGCTGCGTGTGCACACCCACAGGGTCCTGCTGAGGATGTACCAGCACCTGGGGGGCTGCAACTGTCAAGCTTCTGCTCAGCTCCTAGAACAGTGCCTGGCATAGAGCGGCACTCCACAAATAACTGTTAAATGGACTTATCCACAGGGAGATCACCTATTGGCTGTGGGACAGAAATTCTGTCCCCGCGGAATAAAACACGAAAGAAGACCTGAGGAAGCCTTTTCTCTCCCACCATATACTTAGGATGCAGGCCAGCTTCAAGTTCACTGTCTCCCGAAAGCTAGACAGCTACTCTCAGCAATCAATATGGCATGTAACGCTTTGGTATATCTAATGTGTCCAGAGTACTCAATTTTAACATGTAAGTAAGAATCATTCCTCAAAAACAGTCTCCTTTGGAGAACATGGAGTTACTCTAACAATGTCCAAAATCTTTTACAGACCTCACCTTTTATATAGCCACAACTTCTTTGTTTGAAAAAAAAAAAAAAAAAAAAAGATGTCTATTACAGAATGAACACCTCTTCTCATAAGGCTTTCAACTAGCTGAGAATTAAAGAATTTCAGAAATAAAATTCCCATCTCCTTATCCTTAAAGTAGAAGGTGTTTTTCAGGGCTTTCATTTCCAAAATTCTATTATGTAAGCCACTTTATAAATCACGTACACAACAATCCTCATTTTTCCATCAAGTTTGTTTTTGTTTTTTTTGCGGTACGCGGGCCTCTCACTGTTGTGGCCTCCCCCGTTGCGGAGCACAGGCTCTGGATGCGCAGGCCCAGCGGCCATGGCTCACGGGCCCAGCCGCTCTGTGGCATGTGGGATCTTCCTGGGCCGGGGCACAAACTCGTGTCCCCTGTATCGGCAGGCGGACTCTCAACCACTGCACCACCAGGGAAGCCCTCCATCAAGTTTTAACTGCCCCCCTCCAACCCCGCCGGGCTCTGGCAACACCATGCACCACGTGTATCTCTGTTATAGTACTTGTCAATCTGTGATGTTACCTCTTTACATGTCATTTATCCCACTCAACTGTCCTCCTGGAGGCAGGCCCCTGACATGCCAGTTTCTGAATCTGCAGTGCTGACTGCTGGCATATAGTCGGTGGCTCAGTAAATGTTTACATGAATCAATGACTCAAATCAGTTAATGGATCATAAACCTTTTCATCAGACCTAACTACTGGCTCCTTCCTACCCTCCAAGGCCAGAGAATTCCCATCACTGTGGATAATAAAAAAGGATGGGAGGCTTTTAAGGCAATGGCGAAAAAACGTTTTGAATGTGTCCTTGGCAAAGATGGCATCGCTGTAGGAGAAGTTTAAATTCTTCCCAGCTAACACAGTCCTTTAAGGAGGCAACATCCATTTGCACGTCTATGTGTCTTTTGCTCTGTGAGTTAAAATATTAATTGCATTACTTTAGAGTCACACCTTATACATGTGCTTCATTTAATTAGTTTATTTAGTTGCCCTGAAATATATACTGATGGGTAAAAACAAATTAGTGTAAATCACAACTTTAAAAAGATAGTTAGGGAAGCATCTAGTTCAATGTCCAAATTACATGAAAAAGCCAAAAAGACCCGCCCGCTCAGCACCGTGTACCCTTCAGTGATTAGGAAATGAGCTACTTTTCAGGTATCATCCAATCCAAACTGTTGTCAGTGTCTCCAGAATCTACAGACTGCTCTTCCCAACGTTCAACAACATAAGCACATCTTAGTTTCCAAGAAACCTCATTACAGGTTGATGACAAATTTGAAAAATTACTCTAAATAAAATTACAGACAATGACTCTGACATTTGGGCTTTCCAAACATACTGCTATGGGTTTAAGAAACACATTTCCACGTCACAGAGAGCTCCAAAAATCAGCATATTCTGCGGAGTCCACTATCTACCTCTTGGGGAGGCTTAACAGAGTGTGTTAAGGACCAAATCTTTTCAGATAACGGCTGGCACTTTGCTAGGTTTTGTATATGAAAACTGAAAACAAAAATAACCAAAGGGTGTAGAATTTTTCAGTTATAATAAATTTTCTATCAAAGACAGAAAGTATTATTTCATATTCTCTTAAATATTTTTAAAAGCAGCACATATTTCTTCCATTTAAAGGTGTGGAAACCGAGGCAAGAAAGCTCAATCATTTTGTTAGAATACTCTATGTTTCAAAAGCAGTTAAAGCCATGACCCCAAACTATAACTAAACTCTCCAATAACCTATTCTCACGAGAAAAGGTTTAAAAGGCTTATTGCTTAACTGAAGGATAATCAATGCAAGTTATTTCAATGACTGGACCAAAAAAGCTGCAGTTGACCAGCAGACCACTGAGTATCCTGGAGACCTGTTAACCTCTTTGTCCACAATTTCCCTTGAGATTATATATATATAGGTGTATATATATATATATATATATATATATAAAATAATTAACAGGTGTCCTTGGTTTTGATAAGAATAATATTCCTGTACATCCTCACTGGACAGCTACGTGCTGCCATCTTCTACATTATGTCCGGTGGAGTGTAAACAATTTTTCATGAAAAAACAAAATCAATAAAAGTAGAACCCCCCACTTTTTCTGCCAGTAGTGCCCTCAGCGACAAAAGGGGCAATGACGCCAACAAAGGGATTACAATACTCTCAGACAGAATTCAAGCAGAATTCTAAGTGGATAAATTCATGTTATAAACTTTTTTTTTTTTTTGCAAGTGCCTTGCATGCTTATGTTACTATTCATTCTGAGATAGACAGATCATCAATAACCTTCTGGGTCACTGACTAGGGAGAAAGCCGACTATAAAAAAGAGTGGGAGAAAAATAAGAGGGGGGGTTGCTTCCTTCCACCCCAGACCCCCTACTGCCTTGAATGAAAGAAGACAGATGGCAGCCACCTTCCCCTTTAATTAGGAGGGGCAGCTCAGAGGGGACAGCCCTGCTCACTTGGCACCATCTTTAACAAACCGTTTCGATGGTAATGCTCTGCTCATTCACCCTTGTTTCAAACTGTTCGCAATCTTTGATTTATAAACCAAATGTCTGTAAATTTAATTGTGAAAAACTATAGCTCTGAGCACAACACTGAAAGTACCTTCAGAAAGAAGGTACTTAAAGATGTTTGCTGAATTAATAATTCACAGACATTCACATAGGGAGCCTGGAGTGTTTCAAATGAAATACAGACACCTCAAGTCCTACCATCACCACTTTGAGATAAAATGGGAACTCCCACGGCACAGAAGCCCGAACTTAAATTCACACTGTATTCCACACTAGAGTTAGAAGCTAAGACCCCTGACTTCTGCTTTCCAACGCCACACTACAGACATGCTGCCCCCTTCTACCTTCAAAGTGTCACTGTTTAAGTTCAGAGAAGTCAAGAAAATTCTCCGGTAAAAGCAGTCCCTTTTATGAGGATAATTTTAATTACAAATCACAAACCACTCTGCATTTCTATTCGTTTTGCATTTTCAAAACCACAGAGCTTTGTATTAAAAATTTATCAAGACGTGTAACATCTCTGGAGACAGGACCAGCATAAAAAACAAACAAACAAAAATGTAAGACGGGCCAAGTGTCAGAATCAGGCTGGTGTCACAGAATCTTCTGTGCAGGAGATGAAGCCTCTTAATTATTATTTTTTAAAGTTATTAAACATATTTTCTATAAATCTACAAGGCACGAAACTTTCTAACATGAAGGGAAAATTCGGTTAGGACTTTATACATTTTATCCAATTTTTATATTAATTTATTTTCCCAACATCATTAAATAACTTGTATTCTTCAGGTCCTTTCCATTTCCTGACAGGCTTTAAAATTACAGCCTTTTATCCAACAGCCATTCCCACCTAGTGTCTGCAGTTCCCACGTGCAGACACCCCCGTCCTCATACCTGTCTTGTACACGCACCCTTCCTGCTTCCCAATGGAAATAAGGGCAGCGAACTGGGGCTGTTTTGCTAGATATGCTCCTGGCTGCAGCTCATAAAAAGCCTTGTCTGTGTCACCCACCGTCACTTAATTAATGGCAAAGTTCTTGAACCATTTAAAAAGAGAAAAAAAGAGAACTTTTTGTTTTCTCATTGATGATAAATTTCAGTCTCTTTTTACCTCTTAACAAGCCAGCCAGCAGCTAGATACAGGAAGAGAGACAGAAAAGATAAAAGAAGCAATCAGCTATTTAACAAACTTCATCTCCTACTTCCCAATGAAAAGGAAAAAAAAAAAAAAACCTTGGCATTTGCCAGATGCTGAGTGTTTAATAATGTTAGCAAGAAAAACATGTAGGAGAGACTGACTAAAAACAAACAAAACTTACTTTGTTTTCCAGCACAGTAAGCAGGTCCAGAACGAGATGAGGGTAATTCCCTTCCTCAAGGCCCCTGCTTTCACTTTATAAGCTGTGTTTACACTTAACATCCAGGTTTGCTGTGGAACTCCAAAATGCCTGCGCTTCTCAGGATGCCCCAAGTTCACAGTTCAACTCAGAAGCTTCACCAAGGGCCAGGAATCTCCAGGGCAGACCAAGGCGACCTCTGGGCGCCACGTGGCACCACTGCTGCTATTACCACACGCACGCCTGGGACACCCACTTGTTAGGTCAGGAACCAGGCCACCAGCAGATAACAGCTCAGACGAGCATTCAGAGACTTGAGCCTCTGGCATTCTCAGGTTCAAGGTTGGAAAATGTATTAAGACGAGAACCATGCAGTCAGCAGCATTCTGCGCCATTAACTTTCTCGCACGTAGATGCCTGTCTAAATAAGTGTGAAAGGTACAAAATTAGAAGGAGTGTTTTACTGGTGATGGTGATTGGCATTTGCCGTGTGCTGGGTCATACCTTGCTCTCTAAAACTGCATTTAAGAATCCTAGATCAGCAGTATTTTCATCTCCTCTGTGGAAACTACAGAGAATCAATTAAAAAAAACAAAACAAAACAGGGAAAAAGTATAATTCTGCTTAAAAATGTAACCCTTACTAAATCTCATCTGGTTAATTTTTTTTTAAATCCAAAAAGTAGGAAGAAAAACCCAACATATAAATTTGATGTTTGTTTTGAAAAATTACTTCATCCATGTACTGTCCAGCTCATAAAAACAAACCTTCTTCCAGCAAAACGGGACACTATGACCTTGTTTACTGCAGTGTTTTGAAACTGCTGTCTCGTAACTCCTGACATCACTGGACATGTATTAGCACCTTTACTGCTGTTGGCTGCACATGCTGCTACCCTGACTGTCTTGAACCACCTCTGGTTGAACAAATACTCCACACAACACTAGGGATACTGGCATTAGCACTAAGCCCACAGAACTCACATGATACCTTTTGTATTATGTCACATCTCTCTGATCACTTTTACAAGAAAACAAAAGCATCCAACCTCTGATACTTTTTCAAGTCCCAGCATCCAGACCTGGTACAGACCATTCTTTCTTCTGACCCTCTCCTTGCCCAAGAGAGGGGCTTCTTTCCTCACCGATCGCCATATTGGCAAGAATTTCTGCCACGGAGCTTTACTGACAGAAGATCCTGACCTACTTTCTCCCAATAAAAAAATTCCCACAAACTTTCCTAGAGGATAATTTATTTTAGTGTATTTTAGAGTTTCAAAGAGCACTGTTGCTGCATTTTCAATTTTGATAAAGTCAGATTTATCCATTTCTTTTTCTTTTATGGAACACGGTTTTGGTATTGTATCTGACTGTTACATTTTTAAAGAAATAATTTTCTCCTGTAAGTCTGACATTTCCCTTCTGTGCTCTTCAATTCTTACTCTGGATCTAGCAGAATTAAAAAAAAAAAAAAGAGGACAGTTGCAACAATTTAATTGTGTAAGTCACAGTAAAATTTGAGCGAACATCTCCCATAACCCATCTCTTTAAATAAAACTAAATTCTGGTCCTACAGTGGTAGTGCAGTTTTACAGAGAAGTATTTAAAAACCCAAGTTTAAACTATCTGAAATCAACTGCTAACATTCCTGTTCCTTTCCTGAAACAATTTGCAAAACATCAAGTCCTCAAACTATAGTCACCAAGAAATAAAAAACACCAAATACATACTTGAGCAATTATGGCCCTTGTTTGTCAGAGAAGAATAAAAAGAAAAGCGTCCAGGGTTAATAAAATTAATTAACTCTAGCTAAAGAACTACTAAAAAGACCCTCCAAATATCATGCCGTTACTATGACAACTTCAAAATTGCCTTGAGAAAATGTGAGGGATTTTTAGATTCATGATAAACCAAGTGTCATCCAGCCTGCTAGAAATTACTTTCATTTATATCAGGCAGCAGAAAGGTTAAATGGCCATTTACAACTCTGAAATATCAAATCGTTACCTTTTGAGAGATGCTGCACTCTCCATTCAGATCATGAAAAGAATAAGTAAATGAACAGCTCTCTCAGTAATCGGAACCATTTTGATTCCAGTCCTGCAACTACACCACTGCTACGTTCTATCTACTTGGTACTTTATTTTTATAATGAAAGCAAACTCTGATGCAATCTGAAAGGGAAGGGACAAAAGAAAAAACAAAAACAAAAACAAAAAACCACCCTAACAGTCTCTAGTTTCCAAATACAAATAGGCAAACACACACTCTGATTTTCTAGGCATCAATAATGAAACAGAAAAAGAAAACAGCATTTTTCCCTTAAAATTCCTGCTCTTAGGTATTTGGACTGATTTACATTTTACATAATCTTGATGGCTCAATCAGGAAGTGAAATTTTTAAGTGCGTGTGTTATGGACGGGAGGAATCACGTGACCCATAGAGCAAAGAAAATTATGCAGTAGACTAGCATGCTAAGAAAAATAAACTTAACAGGAGTTTAAAAATACTGCCTTTGGGATTCACTGAGCCATGAATATATTACGGCTTTTAAGAAATAAAAATTCATTTGGAAGCCTTGAAAATAAGCCCTCAGGGTGTTTTAAAAAATATTACGAGATCAAAGCAATGCACTATGAAAAACAAAAGTTTAATTAATAAAGAAACTCTTTCTATGAAGATCATAACCATTCAAGGTTTATTTTAAAGATGATTTTCATCTTTATGTTCATTTTTCATGTTATTTGAAGATCAGGCAAGACATAATTGTAATGAAACGAAACATAGTTGCAGCTATGTATAGATATTTGTGCTTTATTTAATATATAGTGCTGTGTGCTCCTGGAGCACAAAGAAAAAACTGTTTAGGTTTATCCAGACTTCACACAGGTTTTATAGACTTCAAGTGGTTACTGTATTTTATTACAGCAAACACATTCTCAAGAGGAAAACATCAACACCATAGAAATTTTCATCTGAGGTTATTTCACTCTGGAAACCAAAAAGTGGGAGATAAACATTAAAACACCTTAAAAAGTGTAATGGATTGACGGATACATGACTTCATCATATAAAAACTACTTGACCATAGTCTCTGTGCTGGTTGTCTAAAACAGAGTATGTTAACATAAACATATTTGAAATTCAAAAGGTTTGGCCTGTGACTGTTTTGTTTCTCAACGCAATTTCTGTTATTAATTTGTTAATAAATAATAATTTATTAATACCAATAAAAACAACTAACATGGTTGACAGCAGGTATTTGTACCTCATAACTATTACTTTTATCACCTAATGCTTCACATTTTTCAAAATGCTTTTCATATCTTTATTTCAGCTTTTTAAAAAACTTCATACCCCAGGCAAGTGGCAGGGCAAGGTCGGTGACAAACATCAGTTCTGAGTGTTTCCTGATTACTAGGCTCATCTTTTTAAATTCTTAAACACAAGAGGTAGCTGGAGAAGAAATTATTAGGGAAGACGGAAGACTCTCAGAAGGGAAGCTTGAAATAGACTAGGAACGGTCCGGAATGGTAAGAAGCAGAAACGCCCCAAGGTGGAGTATTACGTGATACTGTGATATTCTTCCTAAACTTGGTATCATACTGGCTGACTGGATTAATAAGGAAAGATGAACTAGTTACCAAGAAATGTTCCCCCAAAAAGTCATAGCACAACCTAGCTCTGCCACTTGCCGAGACCATACCTTATTGAGACTAAATCTCAGATTTATTCTATAAATCAGGAAATTAGAGAAGCTAAGAGACTTTCCTATGTTATACAGATAGTTGACTGACAGCTGAAACTGGACCCAAGCTCTCTGACTTTCCCAGGCTAGGATTCTTTTTTCGCCACGTGCCGCCTTACAGCTATAACCTGAGGTTCAAGTAAGCCTCCAATGAGCCGAGCCCTGGTAGCTTATCTTAGTCGAGGGAAACTGAAATGGGGTCGAGACTTCGGGAGGCTCACTCTGGGCTACTTAGTCCCTAGCTCGTGGGCCCCCATCCCTTATTACCGCTGCCGTCTCTGTCCCCCACCAACCTGTGCGGAGCATCATACTTCCCGAGCCGGAAAGAGACATGGCAAGTTCTGAGCTGAGAAGTGAAGCTACTGATCCTGTCCACAGGTATATCGCAGCCTCCTCATTTTTCTCAGTGGGAAAATCAAGGCACTAAAATAAGAAAAAGCACTTGTTTTGGTTCACATCACAATTTTACTGGGATTTTGGACAAACATGAGAACAAGATAATATTCTCGAAAAAATAAAATTAGCTCCCACTTTATAACCTTCATCAGAATGAATTTTGTGGAGATTAAAGAGTTAAATGTAAAAGGGGAGAAAAAGAAACAATTAGAAGAATATATTTCTGAATTTGAGATAGGAAAAAAAGTCTTAGCTTTACAAAAGCAATGGAGAAAAAGCAACAAAAGGCAAGGTAATCAGCCTCAATCTGACAACGTTAAAATATTAAAATCTGTAGCTTCAAAACCAGCAGACAAAACTGCAAGGTAAACAAAAAATAAAATACTTGCAAGAGGCTAATATATTTTATATTATTATAAAGGTAAAAGGTAAAAGATACTAACAAACAATTCAGCCCAAAATATAAAATGTCAATTACCACGAAAAAGTATGGAATTTCACTAGCAAACACCAAGATTTTTTTCATCAATCAGATTCACAAAAATGCACAACAAAAAGAGCAAAGCAGGTGAGGTGAGGTGAGACGATCATTTCAGGAAATCAGCAATATCTTTTTACAAACCCTCAAACTGTTCTGACTGATTAACATGTCTATAAATATCTCCTGAAGAAACAATCACAGATACACAGGAAGATAACTATACAAGGACACACATACAGTAACTTACAATAACATAAAACGGGAAACAACATAAACAGCAAAAATTGGAGGAAAGCATGTGACTAAATAAATCAGCAAATTCATATGTTTAAATCATGGTTTTTGGAGAATACTTAACGACATTGGAAATCACAAAATATAATGTTAGGTAAACGCTGGATATAAAATTGTATATAAATATGATATCAGTGGAGAGAGGGACAGACAAAACGGTGGGGGGCGCGGGGGTGTAGAGAAGCTAATCTCAAAGAGAGACTGGAGAAGGATACATTTAAAAAGCTTGAGAAGGGGTGGGCAGAGAACTTAGATTTTCGTTACTTCTTTGCAAAACTGAGATATCTGACATTTCGTATGAGAAACATTATTTTTATAATTAGAAAAATGTTATATAACCTTATGAACACCCTGTAAATCTCTCTCAGTCATATAAAATAATTAAACTATTTACAAAGACCTAACAAGAGAATGCTTACACTTTACGTGCAAAAAAGAAGTACAAGACAATATGATCTTAAATAGATAAATATTCACATTAAAAAGACCAGAAGAATATGCATCAAGATGTTAACAGTGGCTGCTTTTTGACAGTGCTATTGTGTGTAACACATTTTTTCTATACAAGTTTTCTATGATTGTCATATATTGTTTTCATGAGGAAAAATAGATAGATATTAATATCACAACTATAGGACTGATACATCAAGAAGATGCTACTATTAACAGTTAAATTTCAAAATACAGAAGGTCAATAGCCACAAAAATCTGCCCTGTCACTAAGGTGTCTTTTTTTAAAAATTTAGGAACCACTGGTATGTCTTCAGAAAATAGCAGGAATTGGTGGGTGTCCAGGAGGTGGGAACGAATAATATTTCTTAGTTGCCAAACTGTTTTCTCCACATAGCAGCAGCTCTGTGAGGGCCACACTGAAGCATGAGAATCTTGACAGTAGAACGTTCGTTATTAGCAAAATGGCAGAGAAGACTGATGGGGGAGGGGTGGTAAATGGCCAAAAGAGGAAGGCAAGAGTTCGTGAAAACAACAGAAGCATCAAGAAAGAAGATTCAAGGAATCATTAGATACAAAATAATTAAAAGAAGGGTCTCAAAGAATTATTTGTATACCTATGTTCATAGCAGCATTATTCACAATAGCCAGAAGGTGGAAGCAACCCAAACATCCAACGAATGGATGAACAAAAATGCGGTCTATACGAGCAACAGAATGTTACTCAGCCTTAAAAAGGAAGGAAATTCTGATACGTGGTACAACATGGTTGAACCTTGAGGATATCATGCTAAGTGAAATAAGCCAGTCCCAAAAAGACAAATACTGTCTGAGTCGACTTATATGAGGTTCCTGGAGTAGTCTAATTCACAGAGACAGAAAGAACTATGCTTGCCAGGGGCTGAGGAGAAGGGAGAATGGTGAGTTGGTGTTTCATGGGAACGTACTTTCAGTTTTGCAAGACGAGAGGGTTCGGGAGATGGAGGATGGTGATGGCTGTTCAATAATGTGAATGTACTTAATGCCATTACACTTAAAAATGGTTAAGATCGTAAATTTTACATTGTATGTATTCTACCACAATTTAATAATATGTGTGTGTGTGTGTGTGTGTGTGTGTGTACACATACCATTAAAGGAAAAAAGAAAGAGAGAAAAGAATAAAGAAAGAAAGAAGTCATTAGAGTTAGTAGTTCTGAAGAAGGCTTTGGACTTGGCAGGAAACACAGTTTAAAGGATGTCAAGGGTGCAGGCGTCAAAATAAAATAGACCTTATTTCTGATACATCTTTAAATACAATTACAGAAGTCAGCTCAGAAACAGAGACGATCAGAAGTGAAAATCAGAAGGGACATTATGTTTAACTTGAAAAGAACATACCAGACCTCTCTGTGGTTCTCTGAGACCCTCTCATTATAGCCAGCTTGAAAAATTCCCCAGGACTAGGAAAGAACCTGCAAGCCCAAGAAACAAGATGACATTTTCCCACCAGCTAACAGGAAAAAACATAACTATGAGGGAAACCCTGAGTGTCTTAAAAACGTACTCTATCCTTACTGCGCCCTGTTATCAGAGGATTGAAGAATTCTGGAACTGGACAAAGGCTCTCGGGCAGAGCTGCTCCAGAGACACCGACATCCGGAGAGCTTGCCCAGGCTCACTCGGCGATGCTGGATTTAAAGACAAACCCCTGGAGCACAGTTACGTTTTGTTTGTCATGTTGTATTTTTTAACAGGCATGCTTTGTATTTTAAAGGCAGCTTATTAAAGGTAAGAAGTATAGAATATTTGGAATACTCTTTTTACAAGTCATTTGATTAATTCCATTCAGCAAATATTTATTGAGCACGCAGTACATACCGTACACTATAATACCAGGCACTGGGCTAAGCGCTGAACGGTGAACAGGATGCCGTCATCCTTCCGTCGCCAAGCTAGCAATTACGATTTAAAAGAGGCATAGGATGCTACTGGTACACGTAAGAGGGGGCTCCCATCTGGTCTAGATAGGTTGAGAATGGAAACCTGTATGAAGTGACATTTTTAATAACAGTAGTAATCATTATTATCATTGTTGCAAACTTGACTGACTACTATTATGGGTCAGATAGAGTTTTTGGGTTTTTTTTTTTAACATCTTTATTGGAGTATAATTGCTTTACAATGGTGTGTTAGTTTCTGCTGTATAACAAAGTGAATCAGCTGTACATATACGTATGTTCCCGTATCTCCTCCCTCTTGTGTCTCCCTCCCTCCCGCCCTCCCTATCCCACCCTCTAGGTGGTCACAAAGCACCGAGCTGATCTCCCCGTGCTACGCGGCTGCTTCCCACTAGTTATCTATTTTACGTTTGGTAGTGTATATACGTCCATGCCACTCTCTCACTTCAGACAGACTTTTAAAAGCACTCTCCATGCACAAATTAATTTTCACTATAAAGTGGAAATTAAATCTTATAAAGTGGAATTTTAAAGATGAGAAAATTGAGGCACAGAGAGGTCACCCAGTTCTTACCTAGGGGGGTCAGACCAGACTGTATCCTTTTCAGAATCTGCCCTGAGGGGAACCCAAACTAAGATAAGACAGGGGTGAAACTCAAGGATCAGAACATTCAGCAAAGAGCTGAGCTCTCTGAATACGGGGGTGGTAAATGGAGTAGGAATACGACAGGTAGGAGCGGATGGGGCTGGGAGGCGGGGCTGGGAGGCATGACCAGGTGAGTGGGGGAGGGTGGGAGGAACATGAAGCCCACGATCAGGAACCTTGGAGGGCAGCGGTGAGTGATGTCCAGTCGGGATTTTCATTAGGTTCTGCTGTGTGGAGGGGGAAGTAAATCCCTTCTGCGTCCCCCTGTGAATCCTAGTGTTTGATGATTTGTTTACGAGGACACATACTCTACAGGGCCCCGATCAAGTTGGGTACAGGATATCACGGAACCGGGTGACAGTTAAGGAGAGAAGTGACACGATGAGGCTGCTTTTCAGAAGCATCACTCTGAATGCAGTCGGGAGAATGGATTGGGGAAGAACATCAATAAGCAGGGAGCGGGATGCTAAAATGCAATAATTTAGGTCAAAGGTGATGGTAACCAAGACGGACGCACTGGAGACAGAGTAGATGGATTTGAGAATGGCTGAGATGTGGAATTTTGACCAGGTTTTGTTTCTTTGTGGATTTGGAAGATGAGGAAAGAAAAGGCGCAGTAAATCCCAGGTTTCAAGCTTGGGTAACTGGGATCAGTTTGGAATCTGTTGGCTATGAGGCGCTAGCAAGGTATCAAGTGGGAATGTCCAGTTGGCATCTGAATACAAAGCCTGGCGCTCAGAGGTGGATAGAAAGAACCTGCAGAGGGCAAGCAGGAGAAAAAGGCAGAGGGGCAGGGCAAGCCAGAGAGGAGAGGACATCAAACAGGCCACGGAAGATACAATGCTAAATATATCTGGCGAATGTGGCAACAGGAGGATAGGTAGACAACTATCAGCTTTGGCCAGAGCAATATCAACTTGGTCACAGGTGCAGAAGCCACTGGAGGAGCCCGAGGAGGCGGCAAGGGTGAGGAAATGAAGGAAGCAAATTCACACAATTCCCCCAAGAAATTTGGCCCTGGCAGGGGAAGTGAACGGAGAAGTAAGCGCAAGGGAAGGCAATATGAAGGCCGGTGGTTTTGTTTTCAATTGGTAAGCCTTGAGTAGGTCTACTCCCTCATGAGAGAAAGTCAGTGGTGGCTGGCAGGTAAAGGTCAGAGAGAGAAAGTCTCTGAGGAGGTGAGAGGGGATAAGGTCCAGAGCGTGGGCACGGGGAAGGGCTCCTCTTCCAGTGGAGCAGGAGGCAGGGAAAGCAAGGCGGGTGCAGAGGAAGTGTCGACTGGGGCCAGAACCTGAGTGAGCTCACCTTCTGGTGTCTGTTTTCTCTATGCCCGGGAGGCTGGGACAGCTACAGAGACCGAGGAGTGAGAACGAGCTCCAGGGAGAGGGCAGCCGAGAGATGACAGGGGCCTGGGGCAGCAGGGAGCAGCCACGCTCAGCAGAAAGTGACCTCCGGACATCAAATCATGACAGCCACATGCCGCCGCTCTGCGCCTCTGCGGCATTTACCAAACAACACTGGGAACATAAACAAAAACCCGACGACACCGAGTGGGCCTCGTGAGAAGCCCACCTTTCAGTACAGTAGGGTCAGGTAAGTCAGCTGTAATAACATCAGTCTTCCTCAGGCCTTAACCACGTACGGTAAAACGAAGACAGATGCTTCCAAGGCATATGACGGCCTTCCTGTGACAATGTGTGGAAAGCTCACGCTTCAGTCTATAGTCAAACTCGGTTTGGATGTGTAACCAAAACGTCATATTTCAACACCATTAACAGCGCATTAGCAACCTTCGTGTTTGGTCTGAGCTGGATTTTGCTTTCGGGCATCTCCAACCCTGCTAAATGGGCACACGGATTACAGGGAGGGTCGGACACACCCCTCCTTCCAGAGTCGTGCGTGCGGGGAAGCACGGGTGGGAAAACAGTCCTGTCACAGTCGCCTCTCCGAGACTCGGCTCTAGTTCTTGCTCTGGCCAGGAAATTGCTAGAGAAAGCAAAAACAGGGGCCAGGAACTGAGCACAGCGGTACAAGTCCAAACACAGGCTAGGGGAGGTGGTATTTCAAGTGAGCAACTGTTGTGTTTTACTTGAGCTCAGAGCCAAGTAGGAGGAGAGGAAGATGCGGACTCAAAGAATATCTTTCCCTGTAAAGTCTCTTTGTAGCAACAAAAGGAATTCTAGTAATTAGTATGAAGCACCTCTTGTATTTCCAGGGCATACACCTCCCAAGAAGCTCAAAAGAAAAACCTTTAATTCAGCATCCTTTGCGGGGGAGAACTGAAATTAACAGTAAAACCTGACCAGTTCAATCGACTGGGGAGTGTGCTACAAATAGTGAGATATCTGGACCCTAGGAAAGTAATGTACTTTTGCTTTTTAGTTTCTTCTTTTTAAAAAGATTTCCTTTTCTTGTGCACCTTTATTATAAAAGTAATATAATATTACTACCGGCCAACAGTCCCCATGGTGCTCACTATGACTCAGGCACAGCTCTGAGCCTCCTGCCTTCCTTGAACTTGAGGAAGGCGCTCTGATTCTGCCGGTTTTAGGGAGAAGCACAGAGGGGCTGACTCCTTCGCCGACGGGGACCCGCAGAGCTGGTGTTCCAACCCAGGCCCTCCAGCGTCAGAGTCCTGCGCTCAGCCACTTCCCTGCGCTGCCATACCATGAAAACACGAATTCTAATACTCGAAAATTCAGGGTGTCAAAAAGAGATAAGCGACATTTATCCTACCCCGCTAATGGGATAATGCGGTGTGTTTCCTACTCTATTCATCCTTCGGTTCTCAAATCAAGGACTCTCTGAAAAGAAGATGGTTTTTAACCATATTCAAGTAAAAACGCTAGATAAAACTGTTTACGAAAACCTTTCCAAGCAGAGATTCTACTCGTAGATAAGACTTATTTAAAGTCAGCAGATCTATTTTTTGTGTGCAATATGCACAAACCAGCAAAACAATTTTTTCGTCACAAGTTTCTTTACGTTAATGAAAAATTTTCTTAAGAGTAGTTATTTTCTTGTCTGACCCACACTTAATTATAATGAGTTCCAAAATCAGTCATTTTGAATCCACGCATATCCAAGTTTTCAAATAAGAAAACTAAGGTTCAGATATTTTGTTCTCTTTGAAGCTGCCTGCAGGCTCAGGTTGGATCGCACAGATTTGATGGTATACTTACTTCTGCGCAGATAAGAACCTGACCTTCAGTGTGGGAATGCTGGAACTTCTAGAGGCCTCAGCTGGGTTAGCCTTATAAAGCAAACAAGAAATGGCCCCTGCGAAGTTTCTGTTAGTGACCGTTGACGCAAATGTTCCATGATATGTAAGTTCAAGACTGCCAGTCACCTGAGGCTTATTAAGGTTGACCAGTGTGAACTGTTACTTCATAGACTTAAGTGCATGCCACATGTGGTCTGCACAAACATTCTTTAGGGTTCCTTTGAAATAGACTCACACATATATGGCTAACCAATTATCAATACAGGTGCCAAAGCAATTCAATGAGGAAAGGGAAGTCTTGTCAACAAATCATGCTGGAACAACTGAAGAAACATATGCAAAAGAATGAGCCTTAACCTCTACCTTACCCAATACACAAAAATTAATCTGAGATGGATCATAGACCAGAGTATAAAAGCTAAAACTATAAGACTTCTAAAGGAAAACACAGAAGGATATCTTTACAATCTTGAAGAGGCAGATTACTTAGGAAACAAAAAGTGCTGATAATATATGAGGAAATCTGATTAAGTTACTTCAAAATTAAAACCTTCTGCTCATCAAAAGACATTTTTAAGAAAATGATACAGACTGGGAGAATATATCTGCATTACAAGTTTCTGACAAAGTAATTTTATTCAGAGTATACATAGGAAGAAAAACTCCTTCCTATCAATAATAATAAGGACTTCCCTGGGGGTCCAGTGGTTAAGATTCTGAGCTCCCACTGCAGGGGGCACGAGTTCGATTCCCTGGTTGGGGAAATAAGATCCCGCATGCCATGCAGGCATCATCACCATCATCATCCAGTTTTTAGAAACTTATTTGTTTATTGGCTGCGCTGGGTCTTCGTTGCTGCGCGTGGGCTACTCTTCATTGCAGTGCACGGGCTTCTCACTGCGGTGGCTTCTCTTGCTGTGGAGCAAGGGCTCTAGGCGCGCGGGCTTCAGTAGTTGTGGCACGTGGGCTCTAGAGCACAGGCTCAGTAGTTGTGGCGCACGGGCTTAGCTGCTCCGTGGCATGTGGGAGCTTCCAGGACCAGGGCTCGAACCCGTGTCCCCTGCATTGGCAGGCGGATTCTTAACCACTGTGCCACCAGGGAAGTCCCCATCATCCAATTTTAAAATGGCCACAAGAAAAATAAAAATGGGTAAAAGATTGAAAGACGGTATACAAGTAGCTGATAAGAACATGTTAGTCATCAAGGAAATGCACA